TCCCTCCATCAGATTATCCAGAACCAATGCAGTGAGCATATAGTAATTCCCTCAGGGAAGCCCAGACCCTTGGTTCTTGACTCTGGATATTTTACACTGTGGAGAACTCACAATTACAATTCTGGACTTCCTTACTTTGAAAATCATTACCTCCCATGGTTTGGGAGCAAATAAAATAAATGAGCAAATAAAAATGTTGCTTAGGCCATGGCAGCCTACTTTGTCTCCAACCAAAGAACGAGCACCAGAAAGGGTTGATGGTGACAATGATGAACTTCATCTGAGCTCTATACTTTCAGAAAACAGTGACATTGCCCAGCGGTGTTGCTTAGTGGTTGGTCAATGATTCATGAACCAAGAGGTCACCAGTTTGATTCCAGTTAGGGCACATGTCTGTGTTGCAGGCTCAATCCCCAGTAGGGGTTGTGCAGGAAGCAGGGGATGGATGTTTCTATCTCTCTGTCCCTCCCCCTTCCTCTCTCTCTAAAATCAATAAAAACATATTTTTAAAAAAGACAACAGTGCCCAGGTGGTGTAGTTTAGGGATTGGGCATCGACCTAGACCTATGAACCAGTAGGTCACTGTTTGATTTCGGATCAGGGCACATGCCCAAGGTTGTGGGCTCCATCCCCAGTAGGGGGCGTGCAAGAGACAGACGATCCCTGGCTCTCTCTCATTGTTGGTGTTTCTTTTTCTTTTTTTCTTTTTTTAATATATCTTTATTGATTTCAGAGAGAGGAAAGGAGAGGGAGAGAAAGAGATAGAAACATCAATGATGATAGAGTCATTGATCAAGCCCACAAACCTGGGCATGTGCCCTGACCGGGAATCGAACCCCGATCACCTGGACCCTAGGTCGATGCTCAACCGCTGAGCCACGCCCGGCAGGGCATCATTGTTGGTATTTCTATCTCTCTCTCCTTCTCCCTTCCTCTCTCTGAAATCAATAAAAAAATATTTTTTTAAAAAGAAAAAAAAACAGTGACATTAAGAAATCCCCTCAACCTTTTATGTTCTGGGAATAGATTTACCTTAAAAGACCACCTTTCTCTATGTGACTTAAGTAAGACTAACTATTGAGTCCTCATGTCTCCCTTGTTTACCTTTGATAAGGCCAAACACACACCTTTCTCCTTTTGCCTCACCTTGCTGACAAGGCCAGACACAGACTCTCCAATTATTCATTCTTTGTCTCATGAATGATTAGCTGAAAGTATAACTGTTGGCCTGAAACTAGCTAGACACAGAGATAAACATTTCCTGTGCAGTGAACTGACTGAGACTTCTCCCGATTAAAAACAACCTCACCTGTAAATCCCCCAACCTGTCACTTGTCTACTCCTTCCTATAAAGGACCTGGGCGACACCACCCTGACCACAGATTTTAACTTTGGATTTGGGGTGCTCTTCATATTACAATAGACTGAACAAGATCACTTTCCTTACTTGTTCAGGTTTTGCTTTTGACAATAGCATCCACCAAAAGGCCGAGAATCAAAAACCGAAGATAAAAAAGAAAGAAAGGAAAAAGTGATTAAAGCCCACTAAGAGAGAGACGATTCACAGCGCCTTCACAAGGAAAAGGAAGACGTAGTTGCCTCAAAGTTGACTCCTAGGCCTTATACTGCGGCTCATTTAACTTATCCCTCCACACCCGATTATTAAACCAGTACCCATTCAGCTTCATGGGAGGGGACACAGTGAAGGAGCTCCAAATAAGATTTCTGAATTGAATTAAATGAAATGTATTAATTTCTTTAGTGCTAATCAGGGGGGAAGTTAAAGGTTGAGAAAAAAACAGAAGCAGCCCCTTGACAAAAGCTGGCCTGGCACTCACAGCTATCCCATGTTAGAATCCTGTTGAACATAATTTCACAGAATACCAACATCAGACGAGGTCACCATGCTAAAGTGAGACAAAACAAGGCCACTCGATAATTTTATCTAAGCACAACCAAAACAAAGCCACTGTGCCACACACGCAGTACCAAACATCCTTCTATCTTGGCTAAAATGCATGACTGCTGCTTCTTACCACTTTCAGCTTTTTCCTTGTGCTAGCCTGTCCTCTTTATAGATAAGATTTATTGAGCTAGCCAGTGGTAGAATTGCCGTTTTCTGACAGCATCTAATCTAGAGTGAACCCTGCTTCCTTAGGCCCTCCTCCAAATCATGCTCTTACTGAGAGGCCCCATGCTGCAACAAGTGTACCTTGGTTGGAGGGCATTGACATGGTACTGTGGCTAAATTACTTGAGTTTGTAGAGGGAGGCAAATGATCGGATAAACAAAAGCAAAAGCTGTTGAAATTGAGTCACCAAGAAATTAGAACTGATGTTTAATCTCTGCTAGAACTGGTTTATCGATAGTAATCAAAAGACTTCTCTGAATGGAGGGCTGTGAGCGGGGGGCCCCAGGAGATGAGCACATTTTCATTAATTGTTTTTAGGAGGGTGTGCGGAATGAATCCACAACTGAAACAACTCTGCAGATCCTATTTCTCCATTCTCACCTTCCAGAACTTCAGGAGCTGGCTCCGTGTTCATTAGTTCCCAGACTACCCTGAAATCCATCAAGGAGAAGTTATCCATGCACACGGCCCCTAAAACCAAGACTATTAGAATTAGAACATTACCATTTTGTGATCACTAATGAAATAACAGATCTGGAAAATGATCATCAATGGCTATTAGAACCATTAGGGTGAAATGTTATTTAATTTAAATTCTTAGTCCATATCAGGTACGAAAATTTCAAAATCATTGCTTGGTGATGAAAACGTACTGTTTCCCAATATCCATTCATATTCCTTACATAGTTTAGCTGGAACCCAACACCCAAAATTGAGACTACTTTCCTGGCCTCCCTGGCAGTTAGCTGTGGTCATAAGACTAAGTTGTGGTCAATGAGATGAAAGCAAAAATGCATGTGGTAGCTGCTAGAGCCTTCCTGTCAACCCTTGCACTCTTCAAGTTCATCGCTTCTTCAATCTGCTGCCTAGATTAGAATGCAAACATCTTGGATCATAAGTCCAAGCTGTGCTTAGTGGCACAAGAGAAAAGATAGCTGGGTCTTGGACACCAAAGAGCACCAGACAGCCTTGCACTGCCTTGCCTGTCTTTTTTACACAGTGAAGAAGTGAAAAGTGGGAAAGCAGGAAGCCCAAAGCTGGCTGAGCCTGGAGGAGGAAGGAGAGAGAGAAGAAAGAGAGGTGGGAGGAGGACAAGGGGAGGGGGGAAGAGGGAAAGGAGAGGAAGGGGGAGAAGAGGTACAGGGGTAGGCAGGAGAGTGTGAGGCGCAGGAAGAGCAACAGGAAGGGGAGGCTCCTGGGCCAAACCTTCTTGCTTCTGCTGGCCGGGACCTCCATGAAAGGCTGCAGTTGGTGGTGCACGGGCAAGCTAATTAGCTCTCTCAGACGGTGAATAAAGAAAAATTAAAGTCATTAAAGGAAAAGGTGATGGGGGTGGGGATATCCAAAGGGAAGGGCTACACAGCACTGAGCCAAAGGGTACTGAGTCCATGATGGCAGCAAATATATGCTTGGGACAGTGAAACAAGGAAGGGCATAGAAGCAGCAACGGGAGAACCTAGGCTGGGCTGCTTTGGCTCACTGAGAATTCAGAGAGAGACGGGGGCCTTGGAGACAGGTTCAGGAGGTAAGCCCGGACGAGCTGCTGCTGCCCATTGCTCCCCTGGTTGAAGTCTCGTGGGGTTCCCTCGGAGGAGAGAAGGGGGAAGGAGATGCTGCTGGCATGCTCCCCTGGTGGGGATCATGAGCTTTGTCCTAAGAGTATTTATCTCTTTCTTGCAGGTGGAAATCTTAGAGGTCTAAGGGGAGGGTCTCAATAGAATATTCATCAGCTTTCCAGGTGTGCACTTTCAGGGTCATGGTCTCCACTGATTGGTCAGTGCCAGGGCAGGGGGTCATTAGTCAATGTAACTGGTCCTGAGGCAGCCACTGAGCCACTTGTCTGGTTCTGCTGCTTTTCTGAGCCTAGAGCTGAAATACAACTGAGGCCTAGATGTTATCTTTAGGGAAGAAACCCTCAAGGGGTCTAAACTGCATAACCAGCATATGCTGGGGGAGGATAGGTTACCCTGGGGACAAGGTTCTTGTTTTCCCAGTTTTGCCCCTTGCTAGGCATCCGGGGCTTTCTGCCCTGGTGTCTCTGTACCCAGCCCATCGTCCTTGCTCTGCTTATGTCTGCCTAACACTCGAGAGCAGGTTAATTTGGAAACTATTAGTTACGATACTTTCTACTGCAAATTACAGAAAAATAATTCAAAATGATGGCAATTGTAAGATAGTGTGTTTACTACCTCAGGCATGAAGTCCATAACTAGGATGGGCTCTGGATCCATACAATGGCTACTGCAGCTTTAGGTATCATAGTTATACAAAATATTGAACAGAGGAAGAAGGACCTTGTCATATGTCTCTTTCTTGAAAGTCGGGAAACCTTTTCCCAGAAGCCTCCCTGCAGACTTCCCCTCCAGTGTCACTGGCCAGAACTAGATTTTACATCATTACTAAAGCAGTCACAGGCAGAGAATAGAATTATCATGATCATAAACCATTCATATTAACTTGGGACTACCTGTGGAACTATGACAGGATGACCTTACCCTGAGTCACATAGGGGAGGGCTAGATACAGGAACTACTACTTATGATGGTGCAAGTTGTTCAGTATACAACTCTGGGGGGGCCATTCATATTCAGTCATTGTCCTTTGTAAAGTTATTATAACAAGTTTCCAGCAGATGACAGTGAAGTGCTTGGGGAAAGGATACTTTTTTAAATCGCACAGTCACAGGGACCTGACAAGGTAGATAGCAAAAATCAAGATTATGTTAGAAGGAAGGTGTGGGTGAAAGTGATAAATGAGTGAGTGGTAGATAATGAGAATTCTGAAACATAAACTAAATAATCAAATTCATTATAAACCATTTAAATTTATATCTGGTAAATTCTATTTTAATGAAATAATCCATTCCTGGTTTAAGAAAAGTTTTTAAAATGTTTATTCAATTTCAATGTAGTTACATACCCTAAAGAAAAACAAAAAACTAGACAGACTGATATTGTAATTTGAAATCATTATGTATAAAACCCACTGTCATTACCAATAAAAAGTTGAAAAATCAAGATTGATTTTCTTATAAGAGCAGCAGCATTTATAGAGCAAAGACCCTACCCAACCCCCTCTCATATCCTATGACTAAAGGATACAGAAAATTACACCTTGAGAAAAGATACCAATTGCATAGATGAAATAGTCACTGAAGATTAATTATAAGACATGATTAATTTTAAGAAATATGAGATTTAAAGCATTAAAGTTTCTTCACTATTTCTGTCATGTGTCCATAAAAAGGGAAAATAGAGTCAAAACTAAACAAGCAGATAAAGAATAAATTTGGGAATACAGAGTGATACGTCAGGAGAAATTTTTTAAGTGAGACTGGGTAATCAGTGTTCTTGTTGCTGTAACCCCACCACCTTCTCTTTATATCAAGGTGAAATTGTATATATGATTATGTGATATAAAAATGCAAGCAGTTTTCTTTGGATCAGTTTACACTTTGGGTCAGTAATATATGCAACGTGTTCGATGAAATGGAATTCCTTTCATATCTTCCCTGTGATCACGGGCATAGTCCCATAAGTAATAATCCAGAAGAATGGAATTGATCTCTCCACTAGTTTTTTCACCCTTTTTTTCAATAAGCTCCAGAAGACAATCCCGGATCAGCTCAACACACCAAAGTGAGCATCCTCTGATTTCCACCTCTTGCCTACTCCCATATGAGAGCATTTCTCCTGCAAGGGGAAAAAAACAGAGCAAGAAGCACTAATAGTTAATGATATGAAATCTACTCAGATAAGTACTGTAGAACAAAACACAGTTTAAAACTGTAAATCTCAGACTTTATTTTTGGTAATTTAAATCATTTCTAAACTCAGGCATTAATTCATAATTGCTAGTTAAGTTCCATAAGGACAGGGACGATGTCTGGCTTGTTTGTCTCAATATTCCTAGAATCTAGGATGGCACCTTGCACATCCTAGCTCCCCAATAAATACTTACTAAAAGAATATAAGGTAATCATAAATTTAAAAACATGATATCAAGATTATAAATTATTGAACAGAAAGGATTTAAAATTAGGTTTAATGCCAGTGGAAAAAATACTGCAAAATTTTAAGGACTCCTAGGGGAACAAATAAACAGCAACCCCATCCCCACTTGAGAACTGAATATTGTTTTGGAGACACCCTAGATGCATCAAGGACAACCTAGGAAATCAAAGTGGTTAACCTGAGCAAGGAAAACCATGATCATTCTTTGGATTCAGGATCCTTTAGTCAGCTCTGCCTGAATACAGAGCTGAGGCTCTCACAGGATCCACAGCCTCCAGGGTATATCTGATTCTACAGGGTGGGCACTGGCTGTGCTTTGCCACTACCACTAGAGCTGGGCTCATCAACTCAACTGCCTATAAGAGTCAGGCAGACAGAGTAAGTGAATGCAGCAGCCAGGTGTACACTGTGGTGAGCGAGAGAGGGTGTGCCGTTCTGTCTAAAGGTAGACCCAATGCTCCCATATTTCTCTACTTTTACAAGAGTCAGAAAATTTGATTTTCATATGAAATCTCCTGTCAGGTGTTGATAACTAATTTAAAAATTGCTTAAAACACTGTTCAGGCCAAACAAAACACATATCCAGGCTATATTTGGCTTCTAGTCACCAATCTGTACTCTTGCACAGAGTTTCACAGTACCCAACAGGCCCTGTGATCCAGTGAAAAATGCCCTAGCCCAACTGGGTTCTACTCTGTAACCTGAGGTCTTAATTAATGTTACTGATGTCCCCTCTACCCATCTCTCCCAAGGGTTAGGCCCTGGTCACAGGGGCAGGTGGAAGAACAGATATTATCTGTGCCCTTCCATTTCCTTACTTTGCTCCAGGTGTCAGCAGACAGATCCATCCTTCCACTTCAGTTCTCCTGTTAATCAATTCCTCCAAACTTAATTATCAATGTGCCAGAATTCTCAATTCAACCACAACAGTGATCCTGGAGGATACCACCACCCAAGTAGAGCCATTAGATGAGATCACTATGAGATAATAAATGTCTTGTTTTAAGTCACTAAATTTTGGCATAACTTGTTACCCAGCAATAAATAACTGTAGGTTGTACTATGTCCTCCAAAAAGAGACATTCAAGTCCTAACTCCTGGTATCTGTGAATGTGATCTTATCTGTAAAGAGGGTCTTTGCAGATGTAATCATATTAAGATGAGTTCATACAGGATTAGGGCGGGGCTTAAATGCCATGACTGGTGCCCTCTAAGAAAAGGAGAGACTACAAAGAGAGAGGAGACACAAGAGTGATACAGCTACAAGGCAAGGAATGCAACGGATTGCTGGAAACCACCAAAAGCCAGATGGAGGTAAGGAAGGATTCTTCCCAAGAGCCTTCAGGGGGAGTGTGGCCCTGCCAACATACTGAATCAGACTTTAGCCTCCACAGCTATGAGAGAATACATTTCTGCTGTTTTAAACCAGGGTGGGGAGCGTCCGGCCTGCAGGCTGTATACGGCTGATGAAATCACTGGGCCTGGCCCTGCCAAGGCACTCACAGGTGGGACTCAAAATTCAATAAATCTAGGAGCTTTTTTCGTAGCGAATTTTTAAGTTGATAATTTTGTATAGCCCATGAATGATGTTATAAATATCCAAATGGTCCTTGGCAGAACAAAGGTTCCCAACCCCTGTTTTAAGCCATCCAGTTTGTGGTAATTTGTTACGTCAGCCTCATGAAACTAATATAGTTAACAGGTACAGCAACTTATAGTATGGAATGGGACATGGACTTTGAGAGAGAAGAAGTATGAAACCATTTGAGAGGACTGACAAACATCAAGTCAGGGAAGGTAACATGGCCAACATCTTAGGCCTAAAGTAAGGATAGCAGAGTCTGCTTGTAGAAGCTGGACAAAAGGGAGGCAGTAACAGCTGCAGATGGAGCTTCTGGAGACGAAACAGATGGCAGGAGAAAATTCAGACAAATGTTCAACTATGCTGGGTGAAACCCTTCTCACCAGTTTTTCTCACAGTAGCAGAGACAACTGGGTGCTATAAAAATTCAAGAGAAGGCCTGGCCAGTGTGGCTCAGTTGGTTGGGCGTCGCCCCATGGACCAGGAGGTCACTGGTACGATTCCTGGTCAGGGCACATGCCGGGGTTGCAGGCTCAACCCCCATTAAGGGGTGTGTAGGAGGCTGGTCAATGTTTCTCTCTCAATGTTTCTCTCTCTCTCCCTCTCTTTCTATAAATCAGTAAAAACATATTTAAAAAAAAATTAAGAGAAGTAGATGGACAAATCATGAAGAGTAAGGAAAACCTATGTGGAAGAGGTAGCACTGGAGCTAGGCCTTTGTTGATGTGCAGGGTTTAAACTGAAAAAAGGAAAATCTGGGTGAGGAAAACCGGGCAAGAAAGTGTTTAGACATAGGAATGAGCAGCATATACATTGTCTAAAAAAAAAAGATCAGCTGAATATGTCTGTATGCAAAAGAAGCCCTGACCACTAACAGTTGTTTCCTTTTAAAGGTATCCAACAATTAATGACCTGGGACATGAGCATTGCGACATAAAACAGCTTGTTATTTTTCAAATAAGGAAACAGAAGGACAAAATGGATCGCCTAAGGCAGTATAAAAGCCTGGTAGAAGCAACCAAAGGAATAATGATACCTTTATATTCTGTATTATTCTTATTTTGGGTCATTGAAATCTATTTCACAAGAGAAAATTAGGCAATCATAACTACTTTCTTTTAAAAATAAAGAAAAAAGTAGCTGAAAATACTGCATGCAAAAGAGAAATTAACATTAAAGCTATACAATTATTTTTCTGATACAAAGAAATGTTTAAAAAAAACCTAGTTTTCTCACAAACACAATTTATACTCATAAAATAAGACGTCCACTCCTGAGAATCAATAATTGAATCCAATGGTAAATAAATAAACCTGGAAAAGTGAGTGACTGGAGCATTTGAGATCCTGCTTCCCGGCATGCCATCAGTTTGCCTCAAATAAACAAATAAACTCATAAAAATTCAAAAGAAAAAAAAAGAAAAGGAAAGCTGAGTGACTTGTGAAGACAACACAGTGGCAGACCCAGGAGCCTCCAGACTCGAAATCAAGTACATATCACCTCTCAGGTGACCTTTTATTTCATGTCGTAGTGTGCTCTTCGGCTTAATTAACACCCTTCAAAAACTACACCTGATGAACTGTCTTAGTATTGAACACCTTCATGTAACATAAATTTAGATTTTATTTTATTTGATGTTCTGAAATTATGATGTCTAAATAGCACAATTTCCCACAATATCCATATTCCACAGTATAAACAACAAAAAGCAATTTTCTCCATATTTTAATTGTCCCTGCATTTTTTTCCTTTACTTATGTTTTTAGCAACAAATAGTGCTTTTTTTCTAAGGAAAGGAGAACTTTTGTGAAAGAAACTAGATAAAGGTTCAACAATAATTCACAATATAACAAAGAATGCCGTAATTAAGCTGACAAACCTTTGAGGAGCTTCTCCAGTAGTTCTTTAGAGTATTTCAGGGCTCCCAGGTGAGCAAGAACCTGAGGTAATCTGTAGTCAGCAAACATGGTAATACTGGAGATGTCCTTAAAGCAGCCATCTCCCTTTCCCTCTAACACACTCCACGTATCTGCCACGAGGATTTGGGCCCGTTTGTAAAAAGAAATTCTTTTCCCCTGATGAATGAAGAAAATATAAATGTTACTTGGGTATCTCAAAGCTTTATGAAATGCTATTAAAAAAGAAAGACACGTTGAAAATATTTTTCAAGGGAAGAATAATCTTATTCTGTTGGTAAGAATTTAGAGACCTTTTACAGAAAAAAAAGGGGGAGTGGTGTAATAAATATTAAATTATCTCTATCACTCCAAATTTACTTCCTACATTTTTGAAGGCACATAAAATGCAATTTATATAATCACAGTACTATTTAGTGTTCCTTGTCAATGGTATTACTTCATGTACATATTTCTGTGTCATAATCCTCCTAATTATTATTTCTAATAGCCAGATATTTCTTTAGAGAGTTTTTTAAATTTAAATATGTTTTTCTAATTGCAACATAATTCACATAAACTGTATAAAATACAGAATCTTAAGTATAAAGAAGAAAATAATCATCACTAAACTCACCTCTGAAGAAAATCACAACATTCATTTTTACCTGTTTCCTTTCAGATAATATGATTAACTTATTCATGGGTAAAGACATAATTGATCAACAGCCAGAATTTGTCTACCACTTTTGGAAATGGTCGAAGTCAATATTTAACAAAAATAAACTACCAATTATATTTATACATGAAAGAAAAACATTTAACCCAGCATTGTAAGATAGTGGGTTATAATTTAACTCAAAAATTCTCTACAAAACTACAAGTGTACATCAGCATAGACTACAGAAAAACATGGACAGATAATTAAAATCTACTTCTAGTCCTAATACCAATGGTAATAACCCCAAATCATCTTTTGTAACTGTTTGTCCGACAGGTAGAAATAATCAGTATTACTGGCTCCCAAAATATATCCTGACCACCTTTAAGAATGTTTTAATAAATAAATGATGTAAATAATAAAAAATAAGATGAAATTCTTCAAGGAAAAGCACTATACAAAAATTCCTTTAGATGACAATATAGTTCCTTTATTTATTAAAAAAAACAACTCCAGTGATACTGTGTCCTAACGAGATAACCTAATATTGCTTAAGCATAAGGTATACCTATTACAATCAATCCACACCCACTTTTACCAAGTAAATTAAATTTTCTAAGGCCAACATTAAGAAATTCAGTATCTTTTCCAGGGCAAACACATTTGTTCATTTTTTGATAATGAGTAAATTCTGCAAATTAAATTGAATGCTGGTGGAAGAAATCACCATTAAGAAGTATCCCTGCATCATTTGGGAATAAGCTATATTCCCAAAGCTATCAAAATATGACAACCTGGCAATATATAACTTATATATGTTAACTAGGTTTCTTTTTTTTTAATCCTCACTTGAGGATATGCTTATTGATTTTTTTTCTTTTTGAGAGAAAGAAAGGGAGATAAAGGAAGACAGAGAAACATCGATTGGTTGCCTGTTGTACCAGGGATCAAACCTGCAACCTAGATATGTGCCCTGACTGGGAATTGAGCCCCAAACCTTTTTTGGTGTACAAGACCACACTCCAACTGACTGAGCCACCTGGCCAGGGCAGTAACTAGGTTTCTAATTCAAATCTAGGTTACTAAACAGCAAGACATAAAACTTGATTTATGAAATAAAACTGTGTACTTGTATCAAATACAATTATTGTATCATAATGTTTACTAGGATAGATAGAAAATATTACTCTTTAACAAGATTCATAGAGCAAACTGGAAAAATTAATCTATAGCCTAATGTAGTTTTTAAATATTTTCAGCAAAGCAAATCAAAAGCACTGTGCTGTAAATAAAATAGAAACTCAGCAAATGCTCACTAAATCAGTACTATAATCTACAAAAAAAAATTCACTCCTTTCTTCCACAAAAACTCAGGACAATTTTAAAGTAAACAAACAATATGGTTTCCTGAATTCATGTTAAATTTAATTTTAGCCTGTCTTCTACAACCATGTGGATTCTGGAATACATGGATTTAGCCGCATGAACTTTTGCCCCACAGGATGGGGCAAAAGCAGGTTTACAGTTGTTTGTATGGAAAATAATACAACAAGGATAAACTCTGTGTTTTGTATATCTACAACTATAAACCTACTTTTGCCCACACTGTAGATTCAGACGGCTTGAAAGATGGGCCCAGGAACTGAATCCATAATTTCTTGAAAAACAAGGCTGAAATGATGTACTTTGAACACAAAGATAAATCTCAAAGTAACCTGTGCATTAGCAAAATGGTTAGTCAAAACAGAATGAAGTTTAACAGAAAGCTGACCTATGAATTCTTTTCCAGGAACTGCCTCTGCCCGATCTACACACCCCTGAAAACCACACCTAAATGGTCACAATCCATGCCAGTTCAATCAGTCTTTGCCCAGTCCAGCTTTGGAACTGAGAAAGTCTCTCTCTTTCTCTCTCTGGTGCTGAAGCAGTAAGATGCAAAGTTCATGGACCTTATCTACTTCATGAAGAGAGATGGTTAATAGTAAGAGAAAAATGTAGTCAACAGAAGCTAATAGAAGAGACTGAATCCTGATGACATTGATCCCTTGATCCTGGATGTGCCTATTCTCAATACCATCCAAAAATTCTTTTTGATTAAGTTTTTTCTAGTTTTCTGTCACTTGCAATTAAAAGAATCTTTACATACATAATCAGGCCATCTCTCACTTTACAGCTAGCTATTGACTAAATGACCTAAGATAAACTAGTTAAACTTTCTTTTTTGACTGGTTCCTGCTGCAAAGGAGGCAATATGTCCCTTGTCCATAGGCCCCACAGAGCCATTCTGTGGATCAAGTGAGAGTATATGCGCAAACACCCTATAAATCATAAAGAGTGATTTAAGCAATATTACTGGTAATTTTAGTTGTTGAAATGTGACTACAAAAGGGTAGGTTTAACATTTAAATTTGATGTAAGTATTCATTAACTTAGGCAATAATTCAACAGATTCATATTATGTGATTCTGCTGAAGTTGCTTTCAATTCTTGTCAGTTAAAATACACAGTGAAAACAGATTCTAAAAATTTTACAAAAACAAAATCCAGGTGTACACTGGGAGGGTATACAAAATGCTTACCATTTTAAAAGTAAATCTCTTTAAAACATTTTGTACCATAAAGCAAATAATACTGTTATAGTACCCTGTGCAGGACAAGGAAAACATCCAGTATATATACATTAGTACTCTACAAAAAATACTTTTTATTAGAGAGAATTTAGTATACATCCTGATTTTCATCCAATGAAGTAAATTTTTTGAAGTATTAAAGGACCTCCTTATCCCTAAGTGACAACATCGTGTTCAGGGCCCAGTGTCTTATTTAGGTTTGAAACATTTTAAAAGGACAAAAGAATTAAAGGGAATATACTACTGGTTAGAAATCATTAGAGAAGTAATGTCTTTCAAACACTACTTAATTTTGTTACTGTTTTTTGTCCACAGGAACAAACTTCAAAACTTAAGTTTTTATTCTCAAAAGGAGTTCTGGAAATAAAAGTGTGAACAATTAAAAGAGTTGGCAATGAAAAGACAATCAAGAATCCTAAAATGCTCAACAGAAGCAACTCACCTCAAACTCAGTCACATCTCTGTAAGAGGGAAAGTTTTCAACTACCAGATGCATTAACTTCTGTGCACTTTTTTCACTTTTTTTGACACAATTAAGGAAAGAGCCTTCAAACTTCTCAAGCAAAATTTTCCCAGTTTCATTGAGAATCCGATGCCTCTCCTCTATCAAAGGCATGGGAACGTCTGTGTCAGAACGGAGTATATGCCGAACCTGATCCAGGGTCACTGTGGCATAGTAGGAAGCACTAGTTATTGGTATCCCTTGGGAAAATGAGAAAGCAAAGAGGAGCAATGTCATACTTCTATATTCACCAGACCTTTTCTTTTACAACACAGTTAATATAAAACTAAATGAGTGTTACAGGAATGAACTAAAAGTGGGTGAATAATAAAAAACCACAGCAAGCCCCTCATTTTCTATTTGTTCATCTGTACTTATGCATACATTTCTAACTGTAATATTACATCGGGTGTATTTTGACTGTGTAAAATGTGTTATACATCTGTCCCCTTTGTTCTTAAGATTTTATCAGGCTGGATTTTATACTTAGCTGTGATTATGATATTAGGATCAGTTCCCACTGACTAAGGATTTAATACAAGCCTCTCATACTTCTATTTTCAGCTGAGGAGCTGGCAATGGAGAACTTCAAGTTCGCCTTATTTTTTAAATACATCTTTGATTTCAGAGAGAGGAAGGGAGAGGGAGAGAGAGAGGTAGAGACATCAGTGATGAGAGAGTCATCACTGATCCGCTTAGCAGCCGGGGACCGGGCATGTGCTCCTTGGGACACTCTAGTAAACTGAAACCTCGAAGGGCCACCAACCTTCATCCAGGGCTCTGTTGATGGCGGCGCACAGGGACCAGTACCCACTGTACGGTCTCCCTCTGTACCCCACCAGACATTTGCGCTCATCATGCTCCGACCAGAAGGAGAAGTTGAGTGTGTCTGCAACGAATACCCAGTTGACCGCCGCCTCGTCGGCCGCCTTGGGGTTCAGGTCGTGAAGGGCCTTCCAGCCTCCCAGGCTCAGCTCGGGTCCCGAGGCCTTGGCGAGCAGCAGCTCCGCAACCCTCCGCACGCCCCCGCCTTCAATGAACACATCTCGACTGTGCTCCGCAATGAACTTTGCGGACTCCCTGGGAGTCAGGAGCCCGTCCATCTCGCCCCTCTCTTTTGGGACTGGGGAAAGACAATTCTGCGGATGGACCGGCCAAACTCCGCTGTGCGACTCTCCGTCCCGACGCACCTTGGGGTCACTGCCCTAACTGGGTCCCGCCCCCTGCACACGCACGCACGCGCGCACGCACAGCGCGGCAGGGAGACCTCAGCGGGATCCCGCTCCCCTCCCTACGCGCCCACACCGCTGAGCAACTACCGAGACTG